GTTCAATTCTTCGCATGGTACAAACATTTGTATCCATAACTCTAACTGTTTGTATCGGTCAGAATATTTTCTAGGTATATTTTGCATTTATTTATTTATATATTTACAATTATATATATAAATATATCTAATAATCTAAACATTTTGTATACTCATACTTTTGTATCTACCGCTTATTCGGAACGCAGACTCATCACACGAATGAGCAAAAACTTGCGTGTTGCTCTTTTAATTAAATGTTGTTCTAAGTATACTTTAACATGGTTTAGGCATATGACAATTAACAGATAAACCGCTACGCACTCAATCTTCGTGCAGATAATCTTGTTAGCACGTTAAATTATAAGTTAGATTTTTTACTATAAAATAATTATTATTTATCTTTACAAAGTAGAAACATACATAAAATGAAGCCGGTTCGCTTATATCTTTTAATCCACGCAACGGACTTTAATGCAGTTTTCAGCAATAGAGAGAGAGATTAAAGATAAGGGCTTATAATATATGTAAAATAGATAAGTGTTATAGTATATAACTAGCCGAGAAATTTAATGATATATATATTACAAAACTAGACCCATATATAGTGTTGAAATACTAAAATGTTATAGTCATGTCAAAACCTTCATTGGTCTTATTCAACATATTAAATTGTTATATTCTATTGTTCGCTGTTGGTTGTCAAAATTAATGAAAAATAAATATTCTACAACATATACATGCAGGTAGCAATTCAATATCCGACACAACAATGCACGTCAGAGAAAGCACATCACTAGCTATAGATAAATAATATACGCATTTAATCTTGCCCGTTTAAACGCTAGGATCATACGAGGCTGGCCATGACGTACGTGGTTTAATTATGCCATACTATAGGCCAGACGATACCTTATACTAGGTACGTATAGCGTAGCAGCCGACCTTTCAGCTAGGGGGTGGGAAGTTAGTCATGTAAGTTTTTTTGAATAGAAAATGGAAGGGTGCTCACGGCTTTATACGCTGATAGGACACTAGTGGAGGAAAATGTGGATCATATTCGACGACCTAGGTGGTCTAGCGGTTTAGCACACCGTTTTACGTCGGATGGTCGCGGGTTCGATTCATCGCACGGAACTAACATTTGTTTTTATCAGAATAATTGTTTGTATCGGTCTGGGTGTTTTCCTATAAGATGTATGTATTTAGGAAACAAAAAAAATAAGTATTTGTATCAGTTGACTAGTACACATAACACAAGCTTTAGCTAGCTTAACTTGGTTATGAGATGAAATGGCGCTGTGTGAATTGTCCTGAGATTATTATTATTATTATATTGAAATCACCAATTAAGAATTAACGATGATGAAGAGGGACCGCGATGCGATGGGAAATCGACTTGATATTGCTTTCAATGGCGCCACTATTTCCCATTACTAAAAATACCATTCCCTTCAGTAATCAGACCACGTCAGATCGACCTCCACCCGTTGTTCCTTGGAAACTATCACGGTTGATGGAAACACTGATAATAAACAAAACTATTTCGAGACACACCTTCTGACACGTTGAAATCAAATATAGTACAAAGATTACAGTGCCTCTGACTATCCCGTCTGGAATAACAATGATGAAGGTATATTTTAAGTTTTAATGTTATTACTTACTACTACTACAGATTTCTGTGCCGGCAGATTACTATGAACATGCTATTTTCAATAATTATACCTTTATGTAATATCGCAGACAGATGCAGGTAGCTATGTAACCGAGATCTATTCTCACGGTTCCCAGCGTCTGGATAGGTTACCATTAATGTAACTTGCTCTTACAATTTAATACTTTAATGACAGTACTCATAAGTACTATTATATAATTAGCATAAAATATTTATATTTAGTAGAGCTACAACACTATAATAATTATTAATATGAATGTATTTTTATATAAAAAGCGCCATCTATTGTATTCGAGTAACAATTACAAACAGAATGCTTTTCAGAAAATTTAAATGCTATTAGTGTTTGAGCATGTGCTTTGTTCACAATTAAATGTGGCGCCATCTTTAGATTATAAACACAATAATATATGACGTTACAAAGCAAAGAAAGCAAAAGCAACTTTGTCTATTTGTTATCTCTACCGCTACGCTAAAACTGCATTTCTTTTTATCAACCCTTGGTAAAGAGGGCGGGTTTAATTGTATTTGTCATTTGTTATTTATTGCCATTTTTGAGAACTCTCTGTCTGTTTTTTTAATTGACGAACATAGAACGTTACGCCGTCTTATACTCACCGGATACGCTGATGGGGCATCAGTGCATGGGCAGTCTCAATACAATATATAATAATAATAGTATGAGTACAACACGAAGTGAAGGGGGGAAGGGGATTGTTAGTAATGTGGACTAATGACCCCATTACTAGCAATGCACCATGTCAGGTTGACACGCGGTTCCCCCTGGAAACCATCGTGATAAGTTCCTGATAAATTTGTCACGATAGGCTAACTAACTTGACCTCTTTTTCAATTTGTCATCCTCCACTGGTGCCCCGCCAGGGTAAACTGTTAGCACAGGCTGGTGCACCATTCCATTATAATCCATAAAAAAATACGTACTGAAGCGAGAGAAGGAGTAACCAAGTTTTCCAGAGATATATTGTGATTGAAGACCTGATATTTTACTAGCAATAGCGCCACTGGTCTCCCTTATATTTTCCTACCTTAGATGCTAGATTGTAAGGAAGAGGCATATATCATATTTCCATAATGCTGCAAATCCGAGACAGATATAAACTAAAAGTTTGCGAAATTTCATACACCTCCGTCGTGTTTTTTTTTTAAGAAAAACAATATCTATCTATAATTGGCACCGCAATTTCAGCTAGGTTAAAAAAATATCCCTGGACAATTTACACAACGTCATCTAGTCCCAAGATAAGCAGAGCTTGTATTATGGGTACTAAACATCTGATATAATTAGATATATTTTTTATAAATACATAGTATACAAAACGCTCAGACCGATACAAACAATAATATTCTAGAATACATTTTTTTCGTACTGTCCAAGGAATCGAACCCGCGACCATCAGAAGTAAAATGGTGTGCAAAACCGCTAGTCCATCGAGGCCGCCTTAATATAATGTTGGTAATGAGAGCTGTATTGCGTTTCAAGGGTGAGAAATGGTAGTGAAGTTACTACATACGGTAATATGATATCTTAGTTCTCCGGAATAGCATAATAGTCATAATATATCCGTGCGATAAATATGAAATGCAACGATTCATTACTAAATTAATATATACATTCACGATAATAAATACTGTACGTGTGTTTGTAACTTAATTCTCCTAAACGTTTGGACAAGAAATTGAATAAACTTAATATGCAATTTTGATTAGTCATATTTTATCTACACATATGGGTGAAATGGGTTTGAATACGAATAATGGTATGGTATTTTAATAATCTTATAATATAACTTCTCGCTTGGGACTAAATGGCGCTGTGTGAATTGTCCATGGTTATTCATAATAATAATAATACCAGGACAATTCACACAGCGCCCTCTTTACCCAAGTTAAGCTTGCTAATGCTAGTGTTATGGGTACTAATTAGATAACTGATACAAATACATAGATATGTATTTTTTTCGTAAATACATATTATACATAGAAAACACCCAGACAAATACAAACAAAACCGCTAGACCACCGGGCATCAATTTTATTATTATTATATTCTGGATCATCACAGTTTTGAGAGACGTTCGCAGTTTGCATACGGCCAGGCCCAGTTGTAGTCGTTTACTACCTATCTGTCGTAGATTAACGATACAGATATCAACCAGACTGGTCACAATACAATACAAACAAATAACTTTAGACAAATAACAAAACACCATCTAGGCCCGACCCAAATAACAATTGTACTAAAGTTATTAAAAACTACTACGACATTACTGTTGTTATTCTGCGATAATTTTGATGATTCTTTTTACAACAGATAGGGTTTAAACATGCAATTTTATGTAAGTATTATAAGCAATTGACATATGAGTTGTTGTCTACAGCCTTTCTGATTAAGGTTTATTTTGTTTTGGGTATTTCGTTTGCCGGAAAATTACTGAAAATAATAAAATAAACACGACTCTTATAATTTATGAGGCTCCTATATACTGTAATAAGTATAAAAATATAAATTTTAGTAATATTATTATTATTTCATATTTATGTTAGTCTATAAGGTATTTATATTATAGGCAATATGTAAGTAGTCTGAAATAAATAAATATTAATAACCAAATCGATCGACTGGTCTGTTTACATTTTTATACTTTGTATGCTTCTAGATAGCACGTTTATCAATTTATCGTTAATTATTCTCATCGGAGTGTCTTTCACACTTAGTTACACCCATGTAGTTACTACCTACACGTAGATCAAAGTGCACGGTGGACAGTCTGCAACTTTTATTCTCCACCGCGACGTGCGGATCTACCTGGGAAGGCGGCGCGGCGGCGACGGCGGCGTCCCTTTCCCCCAAGGCTACCCACCAAACCGCACAATTACCAACCATACGCACATACAACTTGAGCAACTTTTACGTTGCGAGCTGCAACTTTTTTTGACTCATGCCTACCGGACAATCGAGCCTTACTAACTAAAGGGAATATTTAGATCCTTCCAGTTTTAAAGACATATCATTCATTATTAGTGTGTATTGAAAAGTACCTAAAATTGTAGATTATAATTGATCCTGAATCAAAACAGATTTTCAAATATCAAATGCGCGAACGAACGGTAAAACATTCAAATTTTTTATTGGTTCGGTTTTTCCTGTTTCAGGTAATTGTCTTCTATAGTATTCTCATAGTATATCTCTTCAATCAAAATTGTCCATTGTACAAATTCAAAACATAAACAAAACTTTGAGCTGTCATTTTTGACACTGTCAAAGTCACGCGGGCGGGAACTTTGGAAAAGAAGATTAAAAATATATGATTGAAGTACTTACTGGATTGCTGTGATGCGGTAAACTATGTCACTATATCACTATGCACTGTTTGTAAATATTGTTGCGCAGGACTTGTGTGATTCCGGCGTCGGCGCAGGTTTCGATACTCGAATAACGGGTCGAGCGTCGGCGAACGGGCGACAGTGGCGCCGCGGCGCGCCACGGCGACCCCGGGCAACGACGCGTCCGGACACCCAGCGCCCCCGCGCGCCCCTCCGCTATCGCCTTGTTGGAGCTCTGCATTCCTTGCAATCGCTTGAAAAATAAGGGAGGTTTTCTTGGGGATACTTCCTTATTCAGGTATTTAGTTTGTAAAATCACGCTCTCTTTATATAATTTGAGTAAATTATTACATTGTATAGAAGGGTACCTTTAGATAACAACTTTGTTTACATACAGATAATTCCATTTATTTTTATTATGTAAGCATATACGTTCTACGGACCATTACGTATGATGTGTCAATTAATCCAAGTAATAATTATTATAAAATTACCATTTATATATTCTAACTAATTGTGTGCCAAAATTTATTCAAGAATTTTTGAGTTCACTTAATATTTCAGAATGTCCTTATTTTAATTATCTATATTATCTAATAATATATAGTGAAAATATTCGAATGTTTGCATGTATATTAATAATAAATACACGAAAAATGTGTACATCCTGAGGATGACTGCTATTTATATTTAATAATCTATTTAAATAAATAAAATTGAAGTGTCTATTTGTAATTTCAAATTTCTGCTTTTCACTAAAACCTATGACAATATATACAGTACCTACTATCTAAATTTTTGTTTAAAACATTGTCTTATTGCGCTTACAAATTTCGGAAACGGGTAAACCGATTTCGACGGAGGGACCTCGCATATAAGATAGATAATGTTAGACTACTTTTATATTTACTATTTTAGAAAAGTCAGTAGCTAGTAATTTTTGTTAGGGTTGTTAAAGGTATACGCTGGCGATATACCAGTGAAGGATGATAGAATGAGCGCGAAGTTAGTGGTCCGGTTGACCATCGTGGCGAATTCACTAGAAATTAGACTACGATGTTTTCCAGGGGGGACCGCATGGAGGTCGACCTGACATGATATATTCCTAGTAATGGAGCTCCTATCCTCATTACTAACACTTTCCAAACTTCTCCAACGTCGACACATGTGTCTACACGACAGAAAAAGAAGTACTTTTTTATTATGTGGTCTACTCCATCTGGATTAACAGTCGTCTAGTAAAAAAAGGATACAGTTACTATCCTTAACTAGAATATTTCTCTCCCCACCAACCGCCCTCGTTTTAAATATAAAGGTACTAAGTTATTTTTGTTTTTCTCAGATGATAGAATTGAGCTTTCCCTCATACTTAACAAACTTGGTGGTCTAGCGGTTTCGCAAAGCCCTTTACTTCCTAAGGTCGCGAGTTTTATTCCTTGCACGAGACAAATATTTGTGTTCATGTATATCGTTGTTTGTATTAGTGTGGGTTTTTTCTATTTATATAATGTGTGTTTTTACAAAAAAAAATATAGTAATCTTAGCAAATTTATAATAATAAGTATATCTATTCTATCCATAACGCAACCTTTGTTTGTCTTGGGACTAGATGGCGCTGTGTGAATTGTCCAGGGATACTATTATAATTAAATCCTTGATATATTTAAGGGACTGTAAGTAGTAGTAGACTTAATTATCGCAGTGTCATAAAATATATGTAGTAATAAGTACATGTATGTTATGTATGTACGTATATTATGTACATTGTTTTATGTTTGTAACTCGGCGTCGTTTGTCCATAGCTGACATCGCCCCCCCCCCTTTCCTCCCGTCATGGTTTTCAGTGTTATCTATGTAATCAACAACAGCGACACCTGACCCCCTTAAAGATCATTTTTCTGTGCTATATTGAAGACTATCTCTTACTTTTATTCACCAATACCGTTCAAGGAAGGAAGCACAAAAGATTTGTTGATGTAAATTTAGAATAGTTTTGTCTAAGCGAATACAACATCTAGCAAATTGAAAAGTGACTAGTAACGTAACGTAGTTTAAAATCAAAGATACAAACTTTTTTGAACCGTCTTCGAAGAAGACTTTTTTTCAGCATGTTTTCTATGTGTACCGAATTTGGAAACTTTATTTTAATTAAAAAAAATATATCTATATGTTTTTCATATGAAAAATTTCTGATCTGTAATATACAAATAATAATAATGCAACCAAACTTAAATAATGTTATTTTTGTGGCAAGTGGATATATGGCATTATTATTGTACTGATCATTGATTGATAACGGTTTAATAAAAAGGTTAGGTATATGTATATAAAAACACCAGAAAATTTGAAAAATTATATATTTTGCGTGTGCAAAGGTCGTGATTTTAAATCTGGCCGACACCATAAAAAATTTCTTCTTTATTCAATTCTCACTGCTTGACTAATTTTACCTCATGAAAGAAAAATTATTATGAGATCCTTGGTTGGTATTAATAAACCACTTGAACTATACCATGTGCGCTGTAGCACGGTGCGGGTGACAGTTTCATTAACGTTTCGTTGCACTCAAAGTTAACCGCGATTTACATATTATGACTTAGTAATCTAGCTGTATATTCGCAATAGCAAATGTTAAATGTAAAAGTAGATAACTGTAAAATCATTACTAAAACAAAACTGAATACCAAAAAACAGTTAATTACAGGAATAAAAGATTAATTTATTCTTTTTACAGTGTGATGCGGTACCTACTACTTTATTGTTCTTTATACTATTATTTGTACCCACTACGCATGCTGTTACCAAATAATTTTGGTTTCGTACCATTTGGTCGACCATAAGGTACAGCGAATGTTTTAACTCATAACGCTTGAAGATTTTGGCTATCAAAAGTCTTGTTCTATTGGTGAAATAAATAAAGAGGCTGCCCTACTCATGGTGAAGCGTTCAAGGGATCGTGAGGGTAAACAAGCTGCGCTGTTGTAAGACAGAAGTAAATATGCATTGAAACACTTTCCATCTTACTTTTTCTTTTCAGGAACAACTGAAAACCATTAGCATTGATTGTAATTGTAGATTGATTACGTACATTTTTATAGCTATTGCGATATAGGTACTGTAGATATATACTCTTATTAATAAAACAGATTATAGAGCTCTTTAGCTAAAACCTTCATTAGCGCTATTTAAACTTTATAGTTGCGCTTTATTCATCCCATAATAAAGCCTATAAAGCCGGAGCTTATGTCGTTAATTATTTCCCCCCGATGAAAACTTCTAAGATAAGCCTAAACGGCTAAATGGCTAAACTAAGATGCGGTTGAGAGGGTATGTTGAAAAGCAACGCTCTCGCAAACATTTTTACATAGACTTGTAAAAAATACATACAAAAGGTGAGGAGATCAGAAATATTAAAGGTACGCTCATGCGGTTTGTGAAGCAGAATTGAGTTTGACGAATATTGTAGCTCAGTGGCCAGACTTTACTAATAATGCAGTCATTTTTAATAATGCTTTCCTGAGGTAACGGGTTTCTAAATTATACTACTGATTTTTGAAAAAATATTATCTATTTATTTATCACATTATTCACCCTTGATGCTTACTAAGTGATTTTGGAAAGAAATGGCTTCTTACTTCGTGAGAATACCTATCAATAACGATCATATTTATCGACTCCACATTTAAACCCGGTTATAGGAATCGAGATTTGGTGCAATGAATCACATCACATATAGAAACTAGAAAAAGGTACCTACTATTGAACGGTAATCAAATTGGTAGAAATATACCTTGTTAAGAATATTACAGCAATATATTTGGATTTTGGAAATGTCGCTTCACGTGGTGGCACTTTCAGCGTCAATGTCAAATGTTCAGTTCAGTTCAGTAAGTATAGTATATAACGAACTGCCAAGCAAAAAAAAAATAAAAATACAGCTGTTTCGTAGAACCTTTGTTGAAAACTAAATATACAAGAATAATAATAATAATAATCTCAGGACAATTCATCCGGCGCCATCTAGACCTAACTAGCTAAAGCTTGTGTTATGGGTACTTGACAACTAATACAAACATATAGATTTTGTTTTTCTTTATATATTAATTGTTAAATTGCACCGCCTTATTATCTCTGATCAACTCGATGGTTGACTGGTAGAAAATGCCATCAGGCATTAAGTCCGCCATGTATACATTTTTGTGTGCTAAAGAATAAATAAATAAATAGATTTTTTTTTCATAAACATGTATATTATTTATGGAAAAACCCAGACTGATAACAAACATAATCATACTCGTCAAACAATAATACAAATGTTTGAAATGCCATCAGAATTAAGCTGCAACCTGCAAACAAAATTCAGCGCACATTGCTATACAAGTCATGCAACAGGGAGAAATATCTTAAATAATTACTTTATAACTTAGGAGAAAATAGGCTATAGAATAAATAAGGATTCTCATAGTTACTTATGCTTTATAGTTTACGTTTATTAGGTGTGTTGATAAAAAAATGTACTAAGTAATATTGTAAGGGAAAGTAATACAATCTGCTACAGTTATTTGCTTCTAAAAAATTATTGTATTTTTTATTAAGAAGCTATTAAATGTAATGTAACATTGAATATGGTCTTATAATTTTAATGTTTAAGGAGTGATAAAAAACTGCAATGCATGTTGTCAAAATTATTTATTTATTATTTAATTAGCATTTTCTACCAAACCCAAAAAACAATAGAGAATATAATTAAAAAAAGTTTGCTAATATGTACATATATCATAATATACTATATCATACATTAGTTTACTTTTAACGTTATACAAAATAAGAATACTATCTAAAAAGAACAAATTAATAGCACACGAAAATTAACTATTACAATTAGCATTAAAATAGAGGTAATTTTATATCCTACTTCTTAAATTTTACAATTTCAAATTTTCATTTTTCATGTTCTACTTTTAATTGTTCTTGTTCTAATTTTAATTTTTCTTGTTCCAATTTTAATTTTTCTTCTTCTAATTTAAATTTTTCTTGTTCTAATTTTAATTTTTCATTTTCTAATTTAATTTTTTCATTTTCTAATAGAATATTAGTATATTTCACTTCCAATAACTTTTTTTTTATAATATAATAGTCCACAATTGCTTGATTTCTTGCGCTTCTACCACAGTCTCTTTTGATTTGTCTTTTACCTGAAAAAATACAGAATAATGAAAAATAATAACCAAAAAGTACAATAATAAAACTTACATTTACTGTATGTATATTTGTATTGAGACATTTTGTTGAAATTTTATATTTATATTCAGGTCTGAGAATAGGTTT